CAAACCTTGATATAGGTATTTTTTTTAAATTTTATTATTATTATTTTTAGTTATTTTTTTTTTACACACACTTGTTTTTTTTTTTCTCTCTGAAAGGACAGAGAGAGATACACTGGGACGAGCTTCACAGTGATTGATCACTGTGATAGCCAATCAGAGGTTATTACAGCGATCAGGTGATCCGGAATCAGGAGTTCTGGGTCCTGATCGTTAGATCGGGGCTCAGGCCTTTCAATGAGACCACATTATGCTAGTATTTCTGATGATCAGCAGCTGCAGCCACTGATCAGTGTATTCTGACTGCAGCAGGTGCTAAGGTGAATTTCTGGAAGGACAATGCAAGCATTCATAGGCAGTCTGGTATCATCCTTGTCATTTTAACTCTTCTCTATCCCCAGCCTTACCCCTAACTCTGTGACGGGCTTATAAAGGTTTTTGTTGATTTTCTTTCAATTGGACATGTCAAAATGTAAGCCCCTTCATCTGGGCTCTAGTGTAATGATTTTCAGAATATGTAATCTGTGACTTGTTCTTTGTTTCCTCCAGTCACCACAGAAGATCTTACACAGAACACTATCGGATGAGAGCCTGTGCAGTGGCCGTAGAGATGCTGGTTTTGCTTGCTCTTCAGCAATGGACTCCTCAATGGGCAATGATGTCATTTTCACCAACCCATACCCATCCAGTACCCTTCCAGCCCGCCGGCAGCACCAGTCCGGCATGCCAGAGAAATCTGGTAAAATTTGCTAAGTTTTAGAGCTGTTTCATTGACTTCTAATTTGTGGCATATTCAGAGATAACAAAATGTAGTAACCCATAGGAACCAGTCAGAAACCTACAGCGGATTTGAGTGTATAGTAATATCTTATAGGTTTCTCTGGGGTATTGCTCTTTACATTAACTTACTGAATAAACCAATATACAGGTGTAGTGTATGACAGGTTTAGACCAGCAGGCTCTCTTGTATCTGTGCTCATTCAACATTGTATCTGAAATAATTTATGGCTGATTAATCACTTTAATATCTAGTTTATGATCAATAAATTGTTTGTAATGGCTGCAAGGCGAATTTTCACTTGGCTTAAGCTGGCCATGCACTTGTAGATTTTTGAACATTTGCATGAACATTCAGATGAAAATTCTCAGTACAATGGATCATTGAATACAAGGCTTCCTCTGATTGGGAGAGAGAGGTGGGCTGATGACATCACGATCCCTACCTACTAAGCTCGAAAGAGCAGGGCCCTCAATCCCCTCATGTTTTACATTGTATTGTTGTTGTTCTGTCACATGTTTTGTCCCCCTTTGTAATGTACAGCGCTGAGCAAACTATCTTCGCTTTATAAATACTGTATAATAATAATAATACCTCAGCAAATCGGAGGAAGCATTGTATTGATAAAATTACAAGGATTCCTGTGAATGAATGAGAAGCACTCAGTTCAACTTGATTTTGTTCTGACAGCAGACAGAAAGTCCCCCTCGACAATGCCAGAACACAACTAAAGCTACATACAGTTTATACAGCTTGATAACCGGTGCATCCCTTGATAAAGGAAATAGTTTGTTTGGGCCAGGTTGGTCCATACTATGGAAGGTGGCAGCAGACATGTCAGTTAGGCTTTAGGTTACTAACGTGAAGCTGTGCAGGCTTCTATCATCCAATTATGTGCTGGAAAAAAAATCCTCTTTTCTTTTTTTTTTAATTCTCCTCACTCATGATTGGGTATTCTTTGAAAACCACATTCACTAAGGTAAGTGAAAATTCACTTTCCAACGTTGGCATGCTCTGAATCTCCAAAATTCCACTGTTTCATTGCATCATTTGCTTAAAACTGTTTAAAGTGGTTATAAAGGCTGCGTTCTATTTACGAAGGTCAAAAACCTTCAGTGTACAGTTCTCCCCCGATCTCGACAAAGCTATGTGCTGGAGAGCATCAGCTCTCACAGGTCTCTCCCTCCCTATTGGCTCAGACACCACAATTTGAGCCATTGGCTCCCATTGCTATCAATCACAGCCGGTGAGGGGGGAGCATGGGTTGGGGCCCAGTCGCACTTTTGTGTGTCTTATGGACACAGAGAGTGGGGCTCAGGAACAAGCAGGCACGAGTGACCCCAGACCAAGCGGTTTGCTATGGGGGCATTCAGCAAGGGGGGGGAATCAGGAGTGCTGGTGGCAGACCCAAGAAAAGGAAAATCACAGCTGTTCTGTGCAAATCTATCGCACAGAGCAGGTAAGTATGGCATGTTTGTCATTTAAAAAAAAGTAACCTTTACAATCACTTTTAATACTACTCCGTTTGGAAAGCAGAGTTAGGAAGATCCTATACCATCATACTCGCGTATCTTTTTCAGCACTGTTCTCATATTGTCCTGATAGGTCCAGTTACTGTTTAACAATTAACCAAATATGTGCCGCGCTCCTAATTAATAGTGATAAAGTTTCAAATTATATGCGTGTTTAAAATACAAAACTAAACAAGAAAATATATTACTACAAAGAAAAAAAAAAAATATATATATATAGATATATAAACAATCTCTAGTGATAATCAAAGTGAAAATGTGATCAAAAACAAGGTGAATAGTTAGGAGGTGAGCGCATAAGTAAAGCTTAATAAGAAGTCACCGGGAGTTTCAACTATTCACCTTGGATTTATTTGGGTGTAGTCACTTTCATCACCAGAGACATATTTATCTAATACATTTTTTAATAATTTCTAGAACGTTGTTTTTGATCACATTATCACATTTTCACTTTGATTATCACTAGAGATTGTTTATATATATATATATATATATATATATATATATATTTTGTAGTAATATATTTTCTTGTTTAGTTTTGTATTTGTAAACACGCATATAATTTGAAACTTTATCACTATTAATTTGGAGCACGGCACATATTTGGTTAATTGTTGAATGGTATATACACATTATTTGAGTGTGTGTTTAGTGCTGGCGATCCTTTTCTGAATATACCGTAATTAGTGGCTCACCAGTTACTGTTTGACTAATAATTTTCCACACAGTTCAGTTAATTTTTAAATCGATGTTTGTCAAGCCAGGTGGTGTTAACAGTGCCGTCTATGGCTTAAATTTCACCTGAAGTATGGTTTATTAAACTGGCTATACACTGTACAAAATTCAGTCAGTGGGCGGCCCTGTTGGTCCACTCCTACTTGACACCTCTTGAAAAATCAAAAGAGCTGGGTGAAAAATTGTCAGTGCAAAAGTGACTCCTTCCAATTAGATGCAGGGTATTTTGACAGCTGTTGGCAAATACAATACATACAATACATACACATATACAATAGGCACAGTGTGAGATTTGTCCTTCTGCACTATATAGCTTGGTTGGAGGAATCTGTTATTTTGCAGGCTGAACGGAAAAAAAAAAAAAATCAATATATCAGCTTTAGTGAACACACTGATGACAGAAAGGGGTTTATTTACTAAAGCTGGTTCACTCAGAACTCGTGCACTTCTGCATGGAAACCAATCAGCTTCCAGATTTTATTGGTAATGTTTAACCACTTCTTGTCTGGCCCATGTACATAAACGGCCGGACGGGAGCAGTGCAGGAGCGGGTGGCTGTTTCTAAACGGCCTCCGCATTCACTGCCTGTGCGCGCTCCCTGGAAAATCTGTGAATGGTCACATGGTACAAGGCTATTCACAACAACCTTGTACCATGTGAAAAGCTGTGACCAATCATAGCTCTCACAGTATTTCTCAATGGCTGCAAGAAAGCAGCCAGAGAATGAGAAATTATTGCTTTTACAGCCTTTATGGGTGTAAAAGCAATCCATGTAAAAAAAAAAAATCTTTAACACCCCCCACAAGTAGTACAGTGTCACTATGGTGATGGTATGTTAAAAAAAAAAAACAAAAAACAAAAACATAATATTAAAAAAAAAATTGAAAAATTATAATTTTGGGTTATGAACTAATTTGGGTTATTTTTATAGATTAACACATTTGGCCAAGATTCTTGAAGTAAGATTATTCATTTGCCAAATTTTATAAGAAAAACACTTTTTTTAAAAAAAAAAAAAAAGTTTGGACGTTTTCATTTATAGAGCAAAAAAATAAAAATTCCAGTGGTGAATAAGTACCACCAAAAAAATTTTTATCTGTCTCAAAAAAATGCTAAAACATTCATATGGGTACAGTGTTGCATGGCCGCGCAATTGTCATTCAAAGCGTGACAGCGCCGAAAGCTGAAAATTGGCCTGGACAGGAAGGGGGTGAAAGTGTCCGGACTGGAAGTGGTTAATTGAACAAGCTGAAGTTAGAAGCTGATTGGCTACCATGCATAGGTGCACGAGATGAGTGAACCAGCTTTAGTAAATGAACCCCAAAGTGTCAGTTCTCTTTCCTGTATTATATCTGACAAGAAGAGCTGTTTTCCAGCAATTTTCAGTAAGTGAATACTTGTCAGCTGCAGTAGGTAGATTTGGTATGTCACACCTGCACCTTTGTGCTGTCATCTGTAGTGTTAGCACTTGTGTGAAGGATGCCATTAGAGATGAACCAACACAATAAGACTTGTTGATGTCTGATTTTTGCAGCCACCATCTCTTCCTCTGAGCTCTCGCTGTCTGAGATCCGGGACTCCAGCTCCAGACACATGGACCCAGGAATGATGCCGCTGCCAGACACTGCGTCTGGATTAGAGTGGTCTAGTCTCGTCAGCGCCGCCAAGGCCTTTGAGGGTAAATATGCATATTGAAAGATTTATACGTCGTCTTCCTTTTTTTTATACTGCAGACATATACACTACATACAGCAGTGCAGAATACCGGCCAATCACGTTTCAGTTGATTGTAGACAGGAGCCAGGTATTTCATTGGTTACCGTGGCTGGCTGCACTGTGCACTGCTTTATGGCATAGTCTAGTTTTGGTTCTTTTCTCATTGTAGTGTAAAGGTATAATGACAAAGCCACCCATAGCAACAATCAAGAAATGTCATTTCATTCAGCGACCTACACCTGAACATTATCTAGAATGGACTATGATGGGCAGAATTGCCTCATCTGTACTTCCCAGCAAGAGTTGCTTCCACTGCAGTATGGGAAAGGGAACGGGATATTTTAAAATGGTTGCAAAGGTAAAATGCATTTTCTGCAATAACCGCTTCCATACCGGGCACTTTTACCCCCTTCCTGCCCAGGCCATTTTTCAGGTTTCAGCGCTCTCACACTTTGAATGACAATTGCGCGGTCATACAACACTGTACCCAGTGTAATTTTGTATTTTTTTATTTTTACATTTTTATTACATTTTTTTCTTTTTTTAAGATTTTTTTTTCATATTTCACTATGACCAAAGTAGTATAATATTACCATAGTAACATTGTACTACTTTGGGGCAGCGATCAGTATTTATTTATTTTTTTACACAATTTGCCTATAGCAAAGAATTTCTTTGCTATAAGCAAGCATTTACCTAAATGACATCGATTCATTCAGGGGTTTTTTTTGTGCTTAGATGTGATTTGGCCATGGCTAATCACATGACACAGCTGGGCTGTGATTGGCCCAGCTTGTGCATGTGATCACTGTGACCATTCACAGCTAGACACACTTGTATACAATGGATGGCATGAAAGGAAGCCATTCATTGTATACAACTGTCATGTGACCTGCTGTGATTGGTCACAGCAGGTCACATGGTACTGAAAACGGGGTCGGTACACAGATCTGTCATCGGCCATGTCCGAGGTACACGGCCGGTGACAGATCACGCCACAGAGCGGCCCTGCAGGCAGGCGCACTGCGCATGCCTGAAAGGACACCATATGGCGTCCACCTGGAGGGACGAGGTGTTTTGCCGGCCACCTTTGTGCTATTGGCTGGGTGGGAACCGGTTAAGGTAAAAAACCTTTTAATAGCAGCCCCCCCTAAATACTCACCAGAGCCTGATGTTGGTCCAGTGCTTTGCACATCTGCAGCAGCTCTTCTCTGCACTCACACAGGCTTGGCTGAGATCAGTGGGACCATTGGCTTCTGCTGCTGTCAGTCAAAAGCTGTGAGCTGGGGGGGGGCGCGTGTCGGGGGAGGAGGGCCCGAGACAGGCTGTGTGTCCTGAATAGATGCATGAACGGAAGCAGTTCCCTATGGGGGAACTCAGCGGGGGGGGGCCAGGAGCACTGGTGGAGGACCTAGAGAAGAGGAAGATTGGGGCTACTCTGTGCAAACCCATTACACAGAGCAGCTGAGTATAATGTGTTTATTTTCATGAAAAAAAACTTTCATGGAAGCAGCTTCCTATGGGGGAGCTTAGCAGGGGGGATGAGCCAGGAGCACTGGTGGGGGACCCAGAGAAGAGGAAGATTGGAGCTACTCTGTGCAAACCTGTTGCACAGAGCAGCTGAGTAGAACGTGTTTATTTTTACAAAAAAAACTTTCAAAGTTTACAATCAGTCATTCTAAAAGAGAACGCCCAAGACTTTCATAAGTTCGTTCCATAGCTACTTGCTGCTATGGGTTACATTGTATTTTCAATTTACTTTGTCTTTTGAGAACGTCACCTTTTTGGTAGGTGTCGGCTAAAAGATAATGTTGACAAAATGTGTGTTTTCTGTGATAGTTTCCATTAACACTTTGTTTTGTCTTTCAGTGCAGAGAGCGGCCTCACTATTCTCCCTGAATGAAGTTGCCCTGAGTCCGGTCCAGAGCGGAGGCACTGCACACCTCAGCTTGGAGAGGCAGCACACACCACGCAGCACCCCCACCTCCAGGTACTAAGATAACAGCAGCTGAGTTTGTGTTTAGTGACACAGCCCTGCTGGAGCATGAAAGGCCCATATTTTCAAAAATTCCTTGGACTTGATATTCCTTGACCAAAATCCATAAATAAATGTTTTACCAGTTCTGACAAGGCCTATCGTGATTTGGAAATACAAGAGGGACATGTGAACCTTAATGATCACAGGAAGCTGAGATTTTCCAGCATCAATCTGTGATTGTTGAATTGTCTTTTCTTTCCATAGAAAGGGTTAGATTCTTTTCTCTGCATGTGTGTTGGTATTTAATTGTGTGCTGGTATTTAATTATCCGCCAGCTTAAAAAGGCCAAGTTAGGTCCTGCAACCACACAGTGACAGACAGAACTATCATTTTACACCATTAGTTGCTTAGTAACAGACCTAGCAGTCACAATTGTCCTGTTCATTTTAACAAATCAGGTAATTGTTCAACCTGCTTATGGCTTTATTTTACATATTTTGTTAAAAGCAACTCTGTAAAAAAAAAAAACGCCCATGACTCGGATCTTCAGTTTTCTTTTAGAGCTGCAGCCACAGGCTGAACCTTCAGCTACTGATGCTTCCAGATGTTACTTCACCACCGTGTGGCAGGGACAGTATCCAACGGTGAAGGTTCTACCAGTATCTGTAGCTCTACAAGAAAGCAAAGATTTGAGGCACGAGCCTTAGGACAGGTAAGTATTTATAAAGTAGTGAATCTGACATTCACCAAATATTCACTGAAGGGGAATTCTCCAGGTTCTTGTGTTAATGGCAGTAATGTATTGACCACTAGTGAATGTTTGGTGAAAGTCACATGCACTGCTTTTTAAATATGCCCCTAAGCCCTGGTTCACATTGATGCGGTGCGTAATTTGCAGCGTTTTCTGTGCGAATTCCGCACCGCATCAGAATTGCACCACATTCATGTGAGCCGATGTAGGTGTGTATGTTAACAACACCCCGAAATCGATCCGCAAATCGCGGTGCGATGTGCAGAATCGGATCGCATAGGTGTGAATACCCATGTGATCCGATTCTAGTGTGGACCCAAAAAATGGTCCTGCACCGTTTTGGTGCGGTGAGATTTGAGCCATACATAATGTATGGCTCTGATCGCACCGCACACAAATTGCATGTGATTTGCACAGGAATGCGGTGCAGTTCCTGTGTGAATCACATGCGATATATTACACCACATATATGTGAACCCAGGCTCAGTGTTCTTTTGGAGCTTTTTTTTTTTTTCACAGAAACAATTGAGTACTGTCCGTGATACTTTTTTTATTTGCACTAACATACAATTTTGAGGACAAGCTTTCGGGGTATGTCCCCTTCTTCAAAGTTCAAGCAGTACTGTACAAATCACAAAGTTACAGCAGAATGTTAGAAGAGATGAAGAAAAAAAAAAAGAAAAGAGAGTCCAGAGATAAGATACAGCCAAAGCGAGTGGGGAGGGGGGGATACTACACTCACACAGAGGGAGTCAAGCTTCAGCTAATAGTCATAAAACTGTTGGATAATGATTGAGGAATCCCATGTCCAAATTAAGGCCGTTATCTCGTGTGTCAAATAGAATTATCATTCTTATTTTTTTTTTTTCCAAATATAGACAACGATGCCCAATATATCATCATTGTACTGACAATGAAAATCTTTGACTTCTTAATACATAATATTGAGAATATATCAGCGTTCCCTATTCAGGCCTGTGGCATTTTTACAGCTTTAAAGCACTATGATCTCACTAAACTGGCCCCAGAACTAACATTTCAGGGTCCTTTTAAGTGCTAGGGACCCCAAATTCCAGAGAGCTATAATGTACCATTTCCAACACCACCTGTCTGTGTCAGCGGCTGACCCACTGCTTCCTGCACCTTCCTATTGGCCATAGCTTCAAGTAACTGCCTTACTGGCCAGGGTAAAGGTGTTTGGAGGGTATTTTCAAAATTAGCATTTTAGTTCCAGGGGAGTTAGAGAAAACTTTGAGATGTATGCAAAAGAAGGTGCCTGCATTTTTATTCTGGGACCAGTTTAGCAGGATCAGAGTTCTGATGGTTGTGTGCCTTATGGCTTAAACAGTTGTGCAGTGGAAGACCTGGCATATCTATGAGCATCAGGCTCTATCCTAGGTGTTTGTGGGGGGTATACATGGGGCAACTCAAGCAGGTAGTTCTGAATCCTAGCCGAACAAATGTAGTCTGCATTTATTGCTTATTAATCTGGCATTTTGACAACCAATTGTGCATTTGTGCATATTTTCCTACACTCTTATTATCAAGCCCTTAGGATGTGGACATTCACTTTTACCTCCCAAAATCATTTCAATTCCATTTCCCAAGACTGATATAGTATAGCTAAGATCTGAGAAGATAAACTATACAGAGAAAGTATGGTACACAAAACTGATTTTTTTTAGTTAAAAAGGTTGTGGACAATCACTAATATTAAAACTCTGTTTTTGGATGTTTGTGTTGGTCATACAGCTTCACAAAATTTGGATATAACTGATTTTTAAAATATTTGGTGGTTTTATCCAATATTCCCAAAAATACAAGGGGCGTTCAAGTCAAACCGGGATTTTTGAGTTTATATAATAAAAGAACAAATTTCGAGGAGTGGAAACGGCATTTATTTTTTTTACATACTCCCCTGCTACATTTATATACTTATCCCAGCATGTAATTAATGCCTGGAAAGCTTCGACATAGAAGGATTTGTCATTATGGTTGAACCATACTAGGTCAGCCTGCTTCACTTCGTCGTCATTGTGTTCACCGTTCCCACAGAAAGATACGTCTCTTGTGCAGTTTCACAACAGGCTTTGCGTTGATTATCCAGGATCAGGCGTTCACACACTGAATGTTCACAGGAATGACTGCTGGCTGACAAACAACAAGGGCTAGGATTGTCACTGACAAATGTATGGCCATCTTTGAAATGTTTACACCATTCAAATGTCTTACTGCAGCTGAGCATCTCATCAGCGTACTATGCTTGAAGTCTTCTGTAGAATTCTGCGAGTTTTACACCTTCGTTGACGTTCAAGAAACTTCATCACCACACGCTGTTCCATACACGCACTAACATTGTTGTCTGCCATCTTGATTAACGGTCCCTGGACTGCGACATGTACGCTGCCTATCAGTAATAGGACACAGCTGCCACTTACTACTGCGTGTAGTAACGTGACGCTAGCATTCCTTTTTATACCAGGAAAATTAAAAGTCCCGGTTGGATACCTATAAAGTCCCCTCCAATACTTATTTCCTTCCTTGTTTACTTCTTTGGAAAGACATATATATATATTATTTATTTATTTTATAATACTATACCTATGTGTTTCCAGTGATGAAGTGGCTCCAGACCTCACCGGGAAAGTTATGCAACTGGAAGTCATGCTGAAACAACTTCACACTGACCTGCAGAAGGTAAGGATGGAGCTTTCTTCTTCTGTTCAGTTGTATGCTCTGTAGATTGGAGAATTATAGAATTAGGATGCTATCTAACCCTTAACCATTTCAATACCGGGCAATTTTCCCCCTTCCTGCCCAGGCCATTTTTCACGTTTCAGCGCTCTCACACTTTGAATGACAATTGCGCGGTCATACAACATTGTACCTAAACTAAAATTTTATCATTTTCTTCACACAACTAGAGCTTTCTTTTGGTGGTATTTAATCACCGCCGGGGTTTTTATTTTTTTGCTAAATTAACAAAAAAAGACCAAACATTTTGAAAAAAAAACATGTTTTTCTTTGTTTCTGTTATAAAAGTTTATAAATAAATAATTGTTCTTCGTAAATTTAGGCCGAGATGTATTCTACTACATGTCTTTGGTGAAAATAACCCAAATTAGGATGTATTATTTAGTTTGTAGGAAAGTTATAGAGTTCACAAACTATGGTATAGATCTGAATATTGATCAATCCTGAAGTACTGACAGCCAATCTAATTTCTTGAGGTCCAAGAATGTCAGAATAGTACAGATATCCCCAAATGACCCCTTTTTTGCAGAGTAGACAGTCTGACGTACTTTATAACAGGCATGGCGAGTTTTTTTTGAAGTTGTATTTTTTTTGTCATAATTTTTTGGAAAATGAAAAAATTAAACAAATTATTTTCACTATTTTTTTTTTTTTTACATACTGTCACCAGTGCAGTACAGCGTCATCATATAACTGGCATGGTGGTGAACAGGGACACTGACTGGTGACAGTATGAAAAAAAAAAATATATATATGTATATATATATATTTTTTATTATTATTATTATTTTTAATTTTTTATTACTTTTTTTTAAATTTTTTTAAGATTTTTTTTTTTCATATTTTACTATGACCAAAGTAGTACAATGTTACCATAGTAACATTGTACTACTTTGGGGAAGTGATCAGTTTTTGTTTTTTTTTTTTACACAGTTTGCTTATAGCAAAGAATTACTTTGCTATAAGCAAGCATTTACCTGAATTAAATCAATTAATGCAGGTTTTTTTTTTTTTTTTTTTTTTTTTTTTTTTTTGTGCTTAGCTGTGATTTGGCCACAGCTAATCACATGACATGTGCATGTGACCTGCTGTGACCATTCACAGCTAGGCACTAGTATACAATGGATGGCATCATGAATGAAGCCATCCAGTGTATACAACTGTCATGTGACCTGCAGTGATTGGTCACAGCAGGTCACATGGTACCGGCAACGGGGTCGGTACTCAGATCTGTCATCGGCCGTGTCTGAGGTACACGGCCGGTGACAGATCGCGCTGCTGCGCGGCTCTGCAACCGCGCGAACTGCGCATGTGCGGGAGCACGCCAAATGGCGTACACCCCGGAAAGCTACAGCATTTTTGCGGCCGCCAAACAGCTATAGGCTGGGAGGCTAATGGTTAAAGGGAAACTCTAGTTTTTGTCAGTATTTTAATTTGATTACTTTAATGTTAAGTTTAAATGTAAAAAATGATTTGTTGATTAATACTGAATGCAGAGCATGCTGGACTTTCCAATAAGAAAGTCCAACACTAGCTCTGCATTTTTCTGCTGAGAGAACATCAGACGACTAGGGGGTGTATATCTCTTCCTCTGTATACTCTGATGTGCTGCTATCCAGGTCTGTTCAGAGCATAGTAGTAATCCAGCTGCATGAAATTAAACTCACAGCTGCAAGTGGTCCAAATGTTCAAATGCAGTTGAAGAGTAATAAAACATTTACAAAAATTCTTTAAAGTCCTAACCACCATCAATAAATAAATGTTCTTCCAGGTCAGACAAGACCTGTGGTGATCTTAGATGTAGGGGAGGGCCACGTGAACCTTTTTGATCACAGGAAACAGATTTTCCAGCATATTGGCAAATCTGTTATTGTTGTGGGACCCTTTCTTTTCTCCATAGAAGAGGGTAAACTATTTCCACTTCATGTGTGTTTCCACATCACTGGCAGAAAGCTTTAAAAAGCCAAACCAGTAAACACTTTAGATCTGCAGGCTTACTGGCCTTTTGCCCTATATCATAAATCAGCATTTCCCATCCCATCCTTTTACTGGGCTGGTTTCATGCAGTACATCACAGATTTGTGGTAGTCTTAGAAAGGGACATTTCCTCTTTTCCTCTAACATCATTGCCATGGCTGGAAGCAACTTATAGACCTCCAGATAGCATTATTTTCTTCCTATCTTCTCCTTTACCCAAATTCTTGGATGGTCAAAAGACTACGCTCTCCACTAGACCTGCACCTTTTACTCCCATCTTTAACAAATTATAGTTTCCTCTCTTCATGATCTCTACCAAGAATACTCTCCAGATATCCAGACGAAACATATTTTGATTCCACCTCAACACACCCACCATATAGATCTCAGTAATAACTGACAAACTAATACAAGAGATTGATACCAAGCTAGTTAATTATCTGACTTTCTAAGCTCCATGAAATCTAAAGCTTCCGTCCACTGGCTCCATACACAGTTAGAGCAGCTCTGCATTGCCGAGGGAGGGGTTATTAGGATGCTTCTCTCATTATATGCTCTTTCATGAGGTATGGCCTACAATGTGAGTTCCATATGTAGAGTGGGGAGGTTAAGTGAGTGGTGTACTTCCTCCATGTTCCCCTCCTCATTAGGTGCCAAATGAGAGGACTAGCCCCAGGGTGATTTCTTCTGGACTACGCTGGGCACCTAAGACAGATCATTGTTTTGTACAAAGGGAACCTTTCTTATGTCCTGTTCATCAATGCCCCGGGACAAGGCGGAGGTCGCTTTCAGGGACAACTCAACTTTTAAGGCAGACCTCAAACTCAGAGATGGGGCCGTACAGTGCAAAATAAACTGGACTGTCTCAGGGCCTAAGTCAATTTACACCTTTACTGTCAGTTGTTGCAATTCGAAGGGACATGCCGAGCCTCTGCCCACTCCATCTGTTCAGCGTATTTCCGCTACCTCTCTCCCAGTAACGGAATGAGGTCCCGCCGTGCACCTAGTGCAGACTCCATGCCGACACTACACTAACTCTTCCTCTTTCTCACATATGACCAGATTGGGAGCCCCTATGGTGCTGACCTCCTCTTGTTGTTATCAGCGACAAACTGCTTGGAGAGAGTGCTGGCAACAACTCCCTCATTGCAGGAGGCTGTCCCATCTGTGATGGACACGGGATCGCTGCCACCAATATGCGACGATCCCACGATCGCTGTCACCAATATGTGACGACCGCGATGTCAGACCCCAGCCCTTCTCACTAAACTCGTGACCGAAGGACTAGCCAATCTAAAACCGCGATGTCACGTGCGTAACAATGCCACACCCAGCTGCACCCTGCACAACGATTTTCCAGCTAATTGGACCACAATCGATGTACCGGCAGCCTAAGCAATTGTTACTGGGTCAGGTTAATTACGCAATTAACCCTTCACACTGCCACCACCTCCTTTTTGTACAGAGAAAGAGGAAACTCGGCTATACTAGCAATAACACTATAATGGTTGATATAATCGTCTGTATAACACGGTCACCGCAGGCCGGTTATACAGAGGGTTAAACAAACACAGTAGTGCTCTTTTAGAGGCAGGAATTTGTAAATTGCAATTAAGAGCTATAGAAACAGTTCAACACTTTCAGATGGAAAGATTTATTACTAGAAGGTCAAAAAGGGTGCAATAAAAATATTTACAGAAAAAAGATGTGACCAATATATATATATAAATATACAGAGAACAACAGCACAGCAAAGAGATAACAGAGAGAGGATAAAGGGTTAAAGTACTTGCCAAAGTCCTGGGTTAGCAGATCAAGTTTCAGAGCAAAAGGGTACGGGTCTCCTCAGGTGGTATTGATGTTAAATGGGAGAATTCTTCAACTTAGCTCTCTTAGGCCTGACAGCCCATTTTGTTGTTCCCTAGCAGGGGGTGTCTCTGAAGTCAAGGACCAATGCCCCGTTTAGGGAGGGATCGTCGGGCGGAGGCCTAAACGAGAGCCAAAATCTCTCATAATTCATATTTTACTCATACCTTTTCCTATGCACAAGTGACATTCCACCCGCGGGTAGATTATTATGCAGCTGCCTCTGAGGAGCGGGTAGATATGAAATATGAAATACATATTTGAATGGTTCACGAGATCTACTTTTCTGCTTTCCTATGTATTCCAGTCAGGGAGTGTGACCTACCAAACTGTTTGTCTCCTCGTGGCCAATCTGAAGATATGTCTGGTTTTTATGTAAGTCTCTCATACTCCAAGATATGAGACATAGGGGAAAAATGGATTTTTAAAAAGGTTATCTGGTTTCCTACTTCTCTGGAATGCCTTGAACTCCTGGGAAGGCTGCGTTATCCTTTTATGAGGTGAAAAATTGCACAGCTCTGGTAGACAACCCAGAAATGTTTTATAGCTCTGGGGTTCCCTGCTGTGCTCAGGCCTGTGACACTTTTTAACACACAGGCCATATGTCAATGTGTATGAACAGAGAGCAAGAGGGGGGAGAATGAGGGGACAAAATAGAGATTTCTTAACAAAATGGAGGCTGCGTCCTTCACTGTGTGCACGCTTGTTACACCAGCTATCACAGGTACACTTATCATGACAGGCTGCTTGTAGTGCTGTAGACTTCATTTACTCCTGGTAACCATTTGCTGTACTCCACACTGCATTAACTCTCGCAGAACTGTCTTCATACCCCAGTGTGCCTACGGACCCACAGTGCGGAGTAGTTGTAGAGTACCGGTTCCTTTCATATACCCCTTGAATAACTTCAGACCAGGCAGAATAACATTTTAAAGCTTTACTGTAGAATCTTCAATGCAACAGATTAACAGGCAAAGTCTTTTTTCCTAACTAATCTTATCTGTAGCAGCTATCCCATTATACTTACATAGGTTAGAGTCCATGTAGGCAAAGTCCCATATGATGGTGTCCCAATGAGTCGGCGTCTTCTCCCCAAGCAGCAGTTCTGGTACTCAAGGTTTGGCTAAAAGCCCTCAACCCCATCCCTGTTTATAACAACACGGCCAGTGACTCGGACCCCAAAAACTCATCAAGACAGCTCCTGTTCCTATCCTCCCCTGATATTTGCCGAAAATGTTTACAGTCAAATGCAGCTCACCTCCATATCTGGTGGAGCTGTGATAGGTTACAGCCTTTTAGGAATAACGTATTCACAGCCTATCACAAGATGCAGTCTGAGCCCATTACTGGATCACCTTATGTTTCAGTATTGTCCATTTCCCTGCGATCCATGAGTCCTGTCAAATCTGGCATGCCTAGATATTGCCTTCCTGTGACTCAAGCCACAATGTCTAGGTGCTGAAACCAAGACCTGGACCTGATGGCAAGCGACAATGATTATACAATAGATCCCTACTTATGGACATGGTCAAGCTGGCCCATATGCCTTACCACATTTGCATTCAAATCTCTGCTAGACACCTAAGAACAGAAGGGTACATCTAGAATTAACTTTAAGGCTCCATTCACACAACTTCATAAGCGACTTGAATCACACAAAATCCCATGATAATGGAAATCATATTGTTTTCAATGGTACCCATTCACATCAATGCAGCTCAGCATGGCGCCATTTTGGAAAAGATTCCTGTACTACTTTGGTGCAATTCCAGCACAATTGTGGCCCCATAGAATATGCAAACCACATCCAAGTTGCATCCATATTTCCCTACATAATCGCACTGAAAATCAGATTGCAACAATGTCTAGGCAAGCCTAAAAAATACCTGTCTCTTTGTTGACACACATCCCACTTCTTCCTTCTGACGTAGTCCACCTTTTACGTGCTTTACCCTTTATGGGACCTCCCTCTCTTCTTACCATTTTCAGTCTATTATTCTTGGTTCTAAGGAAAAGTCTCTCTGTCACTGGTCTCTCTCTTTTCCCTTTCTTCCAACATCATCCCCATCAATGTCATCTGGTTTATATTGAAATAATTTCCTCCTGTTTAAATATCTGAGTATATGTTACATTATAGGGATCACAGGACACAATTCTTCTGGCTTTATTGTGTACGTTCCACTGGTTGCCAATGGAGTTTCTAATGTTTTAGACCTGTGCAAGTTAAAACCTAATAAACACTTGTTTACACAAAAAAAAAAAAAGCCAAGGCAGGTTCTGCAGTCTCATGATGACAGGCAGAACTGTCATTTCACACCATTAGTTGCTTAGTAACAGACCTGGCAGTCACAGTTGTCCTGCACATTTTGTTAACAAATCAGGTAATTGCTGAGCCTACTTATGTTGAGATATATGTGATTTGCGTATTTCTTAAAGTGACCCTGTTGAAAACTTTAAAATAAAGAAAAAAAACCATGCAGAAGAACACTAATCTTTACCTGTCCCAACACCCGTGCCCTGTATTTTTGTTCTCTTTCTGAGCTACAGTCACTGGCAGAGTCTTTAGCATCCAACACTTCCTGGTGTGTCGGATACCCGTGATTCCACTGGCCAGCCATTTTGCTGCAGGCTCTGCCAGCAGCTGAATCTCTGCAAAAGAGATCAGAGACACAGGCATTGGGGCAGGTAAGTAATAAAGCAGAATGCAATGTCTCATCAGCAATAAAATACACTTACCTGCCTGTTCACAATCTGCTGTAGAATGTACATTGAGCCGCGCATGCGCAGCACAATTTGCATTCCGGCACACTGCTCGTGTACCAGGATGACTGCACTCTTGCATGTGCACGGAGTGACATCATCCCGTACTGGCTGATCAAGATGGCCGAGGACCAGCACCCAGAAGATGGGGAGAAGATCCCAATTCTGGTAAGGGCATGGGACTGTTGGAACTAAGGTTAGTATTTTTACCTTTAGTGACGCTTTAAATGGGGGAATGCAGATCGCATTGCAGCTGTGTGCATGGACCTTATAGCCTACAATACTGCCGTGTTCAGCTCTGTATAGAACTGTACACTCTATGCATCTGAACCTAGCATTATTATTATACAGGATTTATATAGCGCCAACAGTTTGCTCAGCATTTTCCAATATAAAGGGAGACAATACAGCAACAATACAGTTCAGTACAAGAGGGATAGGAGGGCCCTAATCCTTGGAGCTTACAATCTAGCATTACAGTTGGTACAAGTGTCCTCGTCGAAAGCTTCCCCCTTTATTCCTGTTCTGGTGGCAATGCCAAAATTTGGATTTACACTGACTTTCATTCCCGGTGACATAAGTGATCAGAACAATGGAGAAAACAAAATTCCTTAATGGGTTATGCAGACGGCAATAAAAACATTAGAGCACCCTATCCAAAAAATGCCCTTAGGTATACTTTACTATTAATAGTAAAAACCATGAATGTCAGCATATAGCTTATATGTGTGCATTGGCTATAAACATATGTACACGGTGTCCGCCATGTTTTATTGTTAAATATGCTTCCTGATTCGTCGCACAGAAGTAGAACTGCTTCACTGTCCCTGGTTTACCAGTCATATTCCCTGATATACAAATGACCACTAGAGGGAGTATTTTCAGTTCTGTACGCAATATACATTAATCAAAATCTAGAACAGGAAGTAACAATGCTAATTTTAAAGGATACGTCCACCTTTTTGAAAAACAATGGAAAAATCACTTTTTTTTTTTTTTGCAGTTAAAAAATATGCTTTTTTTTTTTTTTTTTTTTTTTTTTTTTGCAAAGGAACCTGCAGAGCATTGCATCTGTGATCAGCAGATCACGGGTGCAATGTCCAGCTCCTGCAGACTCTCAGGATAGCTGTCTCCTCGTAGCTATACTGGCAGGCGGTTACCCGAGAACAGAAGATTAATGAACTACAAGGACACTCACCAGTGCCCTCGCAGCTCACTAATAACTACAAACCATCAGCCGAAATGGTACTTGTAGGCATTCACTCACAGGAAATTGTGAATGAATGATGCTGCCATGTGGGTAGAACTCCATACAGCCTCGCTGTTTCCAAATAGTAGCAGCATATGCAGGGAGAAGATCCCTGGGCCCGCTGTCAGATGGTGGGAGAAGAGGCTGCAGGTACTGTTGCGTTTTATATGTTCCACGCTTAAAATGGGTGGAACGTGTAACATGTTTCAAAAGTGAACTTCTCCTTTAAGTTAAAACTTATGTTACGTAAATGCAGTAATAATACCTTGCAGTCTGTAGTTACTGAACGTACACTGCAGTAATTCTTTAAAGGTAACCTCCAGTCAGACCTATCATAGAAATACATGTAGGGCTTACATAGAGTGCTTGTGTACATCAGGCCACCCACCTGCAAAGAGGGCGCACGGGCCTAGCGCATTACCTTTAAAAATGAGATTTATTATAAATAGTAAAACACTCACAAGAGAAATAAAATCTAATGGAAAGCATGTCACAAAGGATGCAACGTGGTCCAAAACCCCTGGAAGTGGTCTGGTGGGGGACTTGTAGACCTCTAGATAGCTTGTGGCTGACGCGTTTCGAGGTTGTTCCTCTTCCTCAGAGCCAGTGTGTGTGTGCAGCCTATGTAGAATCCCATGTTTGGTGGTAACCTGTAACCTTTTTTTCTGGAAACACCTAATCCTGAAACTCCTATTTACAGCTCCAGTTAACTGTCTTCCTGTAATTTATGTACCAACCCCATTGATCATTCAGGAGTATTTTCTAGACCCTGCTCCAAAATCGCCACATTACATGGCCAGCTCAGGACACTGAATACTGTGAATTGGCCAGAGGCCTTTATGAAGTCATGTTCAATCTAGAAGGAGAGATCTATATGAAACTTAAAATCTAATTGTTATCTTGTGTTCTAATAACTGCATGCAACTAATTTGTAAAATGTTAAAGTGGAACTAAGCCCATTGATTTAACAGTTTCCCAAACAAGAGACATTCTATGTGCTGTGAATGGTAACTGTCACAATTGTTTGTGCTGTTATCAAATGGCTGGTGTCAGAACTGATCACATGTGCAGCACGTGTTTAGACAGAGGCTAAGAGGACCACTTCCTTGGGTTTAAAGGAGAGGAGGGTTTAGTTCCACTTCAAAGCAGAACTGAAGTTCAATTGTATGAAACAGCGAGAAGGCAAACTTTTATTGCAGAAGAGACCAGCAATGTCTGTTTTATTGCAGAAGAGACCAAAAGACAAATACTAATTAATAAATCCAGAGAAATATTGTGGATTTGTGGATCTGCAATAAATTGCACCCATCTGCCTGCTTGCAGTCTTCTCTCCTACGCTATTAACTGAGCTGCGCATGCAGAGCTCAGTTTACATTGCCAGGATGACGTCCTCCTGCGAATGCCGAGGAGTATGTTATGCCCACCCCAGCCAATGTAGAGGCCTGAGGACCGGCACTAGTAAGATGCCAGTGTTGGACCGTTGAACAGGTGAGTATTTTGCCGTTCAAGTCCTGTTTTGTATTTTGCATGTTTTAATTGCTATTTCTCTATATTTACTTGAAGACCCAGCTGTCCAACAAAAGTCACCATCACCAGGATTGGAGCAAACTATAACAGAGTCAGGGGTGCTCACATCCATCACAATTTATGCACATGGTTTTAATTTCCTTTAAGAAAAAAAAAAAAAGAAAGAAACTGCCGAAATATTAGATTTCATCTCTCATTTTCGCCATTCTTCTTTACATGTATGTCTATAGGAAAAGCTGGACAAAGAGGCTCTGCAGATGGAGGTGGCCAATCTCCGAGAGAATAACCAGCGGCTTCAGGCGGAATCACACTCAGCCAGTGAGCAGCTTAGGAAATTTGCCAAAATTATTACTGGTACAGTGGAGAAAAAGGATCATTAACTCTCCTCTTCCTTATTGAGGTGACCGAACCTGCCACTGGGCCAGAGTGTTGACACAATGGTACATATTGGGCATTGCACTCTCCAGCTACATGGGGGGGGGGGGGGGGAAGGCGGCCTTTCCCTTGACATGCCCTGCAGTGCATTGTGGGGCTTCATTTTTTTATCATGGATGCAAGATTTTACACTTGTCACTTTGTTTGTATCAACAACACATTTCCTTATGTACAGAAACATTTTTTTCTTGCTTTGTAGATTTGTACAAATTACAATCCTGACAAGGGCGATTATATAAGAAAAAAAAAATTGTATTTTTGCCTCATTGTCTTCAGAAACAAAAAACCTTGCATCAGGAATTATGCAAAACAAACTCCCCGGCAAGGGCAATGCAAACTCCTCTACTGCAAACCTCCTGGAAAATAATGTTATATATGAATATATATATATTTAAAGCTGTATAGGAAAATGTTATAAGTGAGGGGTAAAAAGGTGTCCGAATGAACAGTTACGTTTCATACAAATTTATTTTAATATGACCCCAGTCTAACTGGATGCGAGAGATTTCCATGTATATTTTGTTAATATGACATGTATATAGTATTCCATCTGTTTTGTTAATGGGGAAGAACTGACCTTACCTGCATCTTTGTCAATTTGCTAGGAATATCTTAAAATATGTGCAAATACAAACTGCAAGTTTACATTGAAATTCCTTCTCATTGTACATTTCTGTGTATCGTCAGAGTAAAGATATTATTTATACTTGAATTTTGGAATTTGCATTTGCCGTCGGCTTATCTGTTGGTGAGAATAAGGCAAGCGTAAAAGTATTTTTTAATATGTAAACCAGTACAATACAAAAATGTTGTCTGAAAAGGAAACATTTTCTCCTTCCGGTTCCGTCAGCTGCGAGTGCTCATCCACATTTAAGGCTTAACGCATATAATTCCTTCTTCACCAGCCACTGTCCTCCAATCAGGTCTTACTGGAACTGTTTGACAGGCAGAAGCAGCCATTTTTAAGTATAAAAACTGACCGAATCAGCCATTTTGAAAAACAAAGCGTGAAATAGCCGTTTTTGAGTCTTACCGTCTACACATCTGGAGAAGATGGACGACGTTTGTTACTGGACCTCAGCTCGCACCAGGCCGTACGCCGTTACTGCTGTGCAAGATGCATGATGGCTTGGAGCTTGTTAAAGAACTTAACTTATTTTCTAAATGAGGGCTGCCAGAAACAGATACTGTATACTGTTATATTTGTATAAATGGTTCTACACTTTCTCCGGTGTCTCCTGTGTTTTCTTTTGGTCATGTCACAGTATATTATTGGGTGAAATGGCTGGGGTAAGTGGATATAATACACAATATATTATTGGGTGGAATGGTTGGGTAAGTGGATTTAATACACAATATATATTATTGGGTGGAATGGTTGGGTAAGTGGATTTAATACACAATATATTATTGGGTGGAGTGGTTGAGTGTGTGGATTTATTACACAATATATTATTGGGTGGATTGGGTTGGGTAAGTGGATTTAATACAATATGTATTATTGGGTGAAATGGTTGGGTTAGTGGATTTCATACACAATATATTATTGGGTGGAATGGTTGGATAATTGAATTTAATACACAATATATTATTGGGTAAGTGGATATAATACACAATATATTATTGGGTGGAATGGTTGGGTTAGTGGATTTAATGCACAATATATTGTTGGATGGAATGGTTCGGTAAGTGGATTTAATACAAACTATGTTATTGGGTGAAATGGCTGGGGTAGTGGATTTCATACACAATATATTATTGGGTGGAATGGTTGGATAATTGAATTTAATACACAGTATTTTATTGGGTGGAATGACCTGGTTAGTGAATATAATTCACAATATATTATTGGGTGAAATGGTTGGGTAAGTGGATATAATACAAATATATTATTGGGTGGAATAGTTTGCTAAGTGTATATAATACAAACATATTGTTGGGTGGAATGGTTGGGTAAGTGGATATAATACACAATATATTATTGGGTGAAATGGTTGGGTAAGTGGATTTAATACAAACTATATTATTGGGTGGAATGGTTGGGTAAGTGGATTTAATACACAATATATTATTGGGTGGAATGGTTGGGTAAGTGGATTTAATACACAATATATTATTGGGTGGAATGGTTGGGTAAGTGGATTTAATACAAACTATATTATTGGGTGGAATGGTTGGGTAAGTGGATTTAATACACAATATATTATTGGGTGGATCGGTTGGGTAAGTGGATTTAATACAAACTATATTATTGGGTGGAATGGTTGGGTAAGTGGATTTAATACACAATATATTATTGGGTGGAATGGTTGGGTAAGTGGATTTAATACACAATATATTCATGGGTGGAATGGCTGGATTAGTGGATTTAATACCAGTTGCATCTCAAAAATTGCCATGCCCCTGTCAAAGCTCACCGCACACGTTACAATCTGCTTGTACAATCTCTATTAACAACTATCTAGTGCAGAGGCCTGCCTGATTGGATAGGTTAGGTAGGTCCTTATATTAGTTTTGGTAAATCTAGAGTAGATTGCTCACAGATTGTATGGTAAGATTGTGACTTGTTTGCTGACCTTAGGGGCTCATTCACAGTAGTGGTTGGGAGGGAGGCGGTAAAACCCTGTGGTTGAGCTGCACTTACTGTGCCCCCAACCGCTATCCCCTTTAGCTGCAGTGGTTAGGCTGATGCTTTGCTTCACCCGCAGTACTTATACCCTCTGTCATTTTTGGCGAGGGTAGTACCTGCGGAATTCCACCTCTTCAAGTGAATAGGTCCGCACTGCAAGTGCCTGGGTTGTGGCATGCTAGGTTGGGCTTCAAGAGGCTAAAGCAAGCAGTGAGGAGGTGATATAATGCCTCCTCACTGCCTGTCAAATGCTCTGTGAAGAGTGATCTGAAAGCAGACCGCTCTTCATAGAGTACCACTAGTGTGACTGATCCCAAAGAGTTACTGAAAGGTTCCTTTTAGGGTTACCCTCACTGAATAGGTGTCCAGTGGCCATATGGGGCTTATTATCAAGGACTAGGCTTGGAAAGTCAGGACATTGCTAGCAAATTGAAAACAATCTCTGAAGGGGCACTGAAGAAGCTTTGCTGTAGGGGGGAACTTTCAGCTTCAGATATTCAGAACAGATGACAGGTTCAGTTGTCAGTTGCTGTGAGTACATCCTCAGCAGATGTTACTGTTTATGACAGTTGCTCCTGCAGATGGTTACTCCCTATATTAAACCTGTGTAATGGCAAAGAGGCTTTGATGTTTGCCTGTTATGCAGTGGCTGTGTTCTATCACTTCCATTCCATAACAATCAGTTGGGATCAGACATTCCCTCTCCAACTGTTATTCCAAACTGATCAGAACTTGATTGTCTGCTAGGAAGCAACACAATTCTTTTTCAGGCTCCAATAAAATACCCTTTCTTTTTTTAACCACTTGCACTCTAGAGGATTTACCCCCCTTCCTGACCAGGTCACTTTTTCTGATACGGCACTGCATTACTTTGACAATTGCGCAGTTATGCAACACAAATGAAAATTATGTCCTTTTTCCTACAAATAGAGCTTTCTTTTGGTGGTATTTGATCCCCTGTGCGGTTTTAATTTTTTTGCGCTATAAACAAAACAAATACTGACAATCTTGAGAAAAAAATATTTTTGACTTTTTGCTATTAAACATATCCAGTAAAAAAATAAAATTCTAATTTTGTCATAAATTTAGGCCAAAATGTATTCTTCTCCCTGATGAAGCCATGTGACCGGTGGCATAACACGTAGGGAGGGGCTTTGACATCACAATGCTTGATGGTTCCATACTGACACCAGCTTTCAATTTTAGGATTTTCACCACTGAAAAAAATCTAGAGGACACATTTTGTGCACAAAGCGGTTTATATACAGAGGATATGTGAGTGCATTACTTTTATTAATAAAATGTTTTTAAAAGGATAATACAATATGATTTGATGCATTCTTCTATATCAACCACCGTGGAAGGGGAGCCCATCGATTGAGTGGAGGAGGACCCCAAACAGCAAGATACCACCCCATCCATACTTTAAAGGGACACAAGTGTTATATGACCTTAACAGTTTGGTCATATACTTGAGGTGAGAGCACAAACAGTGGGGGAGTACACTTTTGCAAGTTTTTTTCACACAAAAAATTAAGAAGCACAGGATATTTTATTCCACAGTGAACTATGCACGTTTGAAGAAGTCCATATATTGACCCCCTTTTTGACTGTTTCAGGGGTTAGGAAGAACCTTACAACACAGCCAGGGTACTTACAGCATTCATTGTTTATTCGTGAAACTTAAAGTGATTCAAAAGGTAAATTTAAAGAAAAAAATTAAAAAAAACAAACATGTTATGCTTACCGATACTTGTTATCAAAATGTGCCGCGCTTCACTTAAAATTGTTTAAAATTATATGGACATTGCTTTTGGAAATTGCTATTGGTTGATTCATTTATTTTAACTTTATTGATTTTGATATGCATTTTAAATCGCAATTGGATGCACATATTATTTATTTTGAGCTATTTTTAATTGAAGCGCGGCACATTTTGATAATTACTATTGATTTTGGTACACGAGTATGAGTATGTGTTAGGTGCAGGCGATTCACAATTAGCACTTAGTAGTATTCATCACTCACATAGCAGCTCACAAGCGGTCTCTTTTCATGTTATGCTTACCTGCTCTGTGTAATGGTTGTGCACAGAGCAGCCCCAATCCTCCTGTTCTTGGGTCCCCTGCTGGCTGACAGTGGGACTCAGTCCCACCCCCTGCTATAGGGTTTGATTGACAGCAGAGGGAGCCAATGGCTCCTGCTGCTATCGATCTGTACTGTGGGGAGGGAGGAAGAGGAGGAGAGAGCTGCTGCTCTCACGCACATCGCTGGATTGAGATCAGCTCAGGTAAGTATAAGGGGGGCTGGGGGGGT